ATTCAGTTTCTATTGTTCAGGCATTTTCAATAGAATCTATGAACGGATCGATCCGATTAAGGCGTGAACTGGATTTTGAGACCAAAGCCTCCTATATGATGTCCCTATTGGCATCTGATGGAAATGTAAGTTTTCAACGACTTTGCCAAATCTTGCCTTCGAAAATTCATAACGAACTGTTTTCAGGGAAGATCCGCTGTAGTTTCGCTTGAAGTCGTAGTGTTGCCTGTCGATGAGTACGCTCCAGTGTTCTCTCAATCGAGCTATACATTCCAGGTAGGTTTCAGCCCCCAGTGGGATCTATAAGAACATATATTCCACAGAACGTGTGCATGGCGCATTCTCTACTATTTCTCTGACAATTTTTCAACATGAATGCTCTTCAGATTCCACTTGACGCCGGCGCTGGTGCCATCGTTGGTGATGTACTGGCTGTTGACGCCGATGGAGGTGTTCACGGTATTCCCGAGTACCGTATAGAACCGCCCAGCAATCTGGTTGCAGTGGACAAAACATCAGGATTGGTGAGTGCCCCTGATTTACCTATAGCTCTACAAAACTCGATGGGTACTCTTCAGATAACCCTCAAAGCTAAACCGGATCGCCATCGCAATCATACGGTAGAACAAATTGTCGTAATTGCGGCCAGTAGTCATCTACAACAGACGAAAGCCACAGTTTACTTGGAGGTAAGGATCAGTCCCAAGGGTCTTTAAGTTGTAACATTCGAGGCCCCTGGACCACTAATCTGTTCATTCAGATTGGCGACTTCCCAATAAGGCCAGCGAATTCGGCCATTTCATCCAACATTTTCAAAATTGGAGCTGTTGCCACTGCGGCTCTATTCGTGCTGTTGATCTGTCTACTTTGGCTGCTGTTTGTTTGGCTATCGATCGTCGAAACCCAAGAGATTGATAGTCCTCGAAAGCAGGTTTAGTCATGGCTGGACAGCGGCCTGAATGCGCAGTCTACGCCGGTCGTATGGGCGGAGACATTCAATCATTCGTACCTCACTCTTGGCACCTCCTCTCCATGATAGTAAAGCAAGGGCATGTCAGTGAGACAGCAGGCACTTCTTCCCCTATGTCTCCGCCCACAAGATGACCGCGGACTGTGCCTTGAGGACACTAATGAAGATCCTCTAATTTTGTTAATATTGTAAGTATACGCGTAGCTCCACATCGTTTACTGCCCATGAAATTAAAATTTTTTTTTTCTCATAGTAGCTACAAGTCCTGTGAGGTTTCGCAGCAACATAGTCATACCGAGTTTATAGTTATGTTCAGATCTACACTATCGGCCGAGAAAAACGAGAAAAGCAAACAGAAGAGAGCTCAGCTATCTGTCCAGCCCCTTCCCAGCAATGTTTCACAAAAGGTTGGTTATTACAAAGGAGCCGGTATCGAGGGCGCGAGGGTCCTCGACGAGTGGCGTAGGGTTGGGTTATGGGACTGCTCTCTTGCTTGTCAACGTGGGCACTCTACTGATTTGGTATCCCGATACAGTATTGTTCGCCGCGGGTCAGAGGGTTGGGTTAGGCGCGGCCCCGGCAAGTTTTCCACCACCGGTTCCTCTCACGCTTAACAAATAGTGGAGAACAGGTTGGTCCACCCTCTCCTCTGACATGCTTACCTGCATCTGCGGCTAACAATACTGTATTTCAAAATTTCCCATCGATGCGATGTGCACTCCATGCTTTGCAGCGTTCATACTTCGCGACATCGACGAAAGATCATCCCCAGACTGTCATAGCAATACTTGTCTATTCTATAAACGCTGGTGTTTCGAACTATGACCGCTGCCTTGATCTGTCCTTCAGTAGAATTCCAGATTTGTCATAATTCTCCTATGGTTTTATGCTCCTTTTTCCATTTAGACCTCATCGATGACGTCATCAGCGTCTTCGAACTCAGGGATACGAAATTCACTGCTGTCTCATCGCGAAGCCGCATCAACTCGTTCACAGCCTGATTCAGGAATCGACCAGGATACGGTATCGGTGAACAGTTCCGTCACCGAATATCTCATTTCGATCGGTGTGAATCCTAATCCGATTCAATCGCGTTCACGGTTCGTTTTCAGTCCTCAAAATCTGTCGTTTTCGAACAAGAGTTTCCAGAGCGGGCAATCTTGCGTCTCGAAGTTGCTCTTGACGGCTTGCCCCCACCCCTCCCCCCTTACCGGTAATCAGCTTCCGGTCTAATTGTTACGGAACTAGTCGACGGGTACCTGTGTGGAAGAGTCCCTTGAAGACAGCCCTCAATGGGCCGAACGCGGACCTATAACTGTTGTGCTTTCTACTTTGGAGCATCCTCACCTTCACGGTATTTGTGGGAGGGACGCATCAATCATAGAGGCTTGAGGGCGTAACTATCCATCCATTTCTCTGCCTATTGGATTACCGTGGAATATGGTTTTTATTTCAAAAGATGGGCTTGTAGGGAATACGACCCAGTTTTTGGTAATTCGTCAAGGAATTGTAAGTGACTAGTTGAATATAAATCACTGAGTCTGCGCAGTTCAGCTTGAGATGGGGAGGGGGGCACTCTGCCAGTTCCCATCGATCAGTATTGATGCCTTCCGCTGAGACGTACATATAAATTCCTGTAAAGCTATGCTAAACAGCTTCGTCTACACTCATCAGGTGTTTACAAGTTTTAAGAAGGTGGGAATGTCATTTAACAGAAATAGCCGAAAGCGCAAAATGCCCCTCCTGAGCCCAACAGTGCCGCTTGAGCCTACAAGAAGCATGCTACTGATAAATCCACGTTGTTATACTACAGATTTTTGAGCTACATAGTGTGGCTTGTCTGATTTCCATCCACGGTCACTTCCCTGAAAAGAAGCCAGTAGTCCGCCCATCCTTTCGAATTTCAAATTTTTAGATACCGACGACCTGATACGGTTGATTCGGCTTTGAATGAGTATATCTACGCACGGGTAGAAGACGTACTCCCTCCAGGACCGGTGAATTTATCCAGCAATGTTGAGCAGCTTGAAGATCTCTATCAGGTTAGTCACTGCCAATCATCTTTCACTACAGTCGCTAGGTTGATTAACCATGAGAAGTTGAGTAAGCCATTGAGAAAAATACAAAAAAACTTATTCCCGCCCCTCCCTGTACGCGGCCCTGAACTAGGCTGCGCTGTCATAAGCTAAATTAGTATATGTGAATACTATTTTTTTTTTGTTAATCCAGTTGACTCATAGCTAATTTTATTTTCGAGTTATTTTTGTTTCAGTATTCTCATTCACGGTTGTCGGCACCATCATTCCAACCTTTGACGGAGATTTTCGACGAACTGGAGGAGATTCAACGAGAACAACAAGGGAAACATCGAGACTATGTACAAGTAGAAATCTAGGAAAATCGTTGAAAACTGTAATTACTCCAAGTAATGCCATTGCTTTTGAAATGTGATCTGCCCCTAATGTCTCTTCGCAGTGCCGTTTGAACTTTCAGTTCATTTCAATTAATACATTTTATCTTGTACATAATTATGATTTGCTCTCCAATCTGAACTGGTGCTCAATTCTGTGGTGTTCTTATGAATTTTGAATTGTAAATGAATTATTTGTCAAAATTTTTGTTAGCTGAACTTCATAAGCGTTTTCGCAGACATACCAGTAACAACTTCTGGATGCTTTGCAACACTACTTTAGTTTAGAAGAAGAGCTATTTGACTAGACTAGCTTCGCGTTGCCCGTAGTACTCCTTTATGTGACTAATGTTTGACAGCGTTCATACTTTGCGACAACGTTCACCAGCAACCAACAATGCTCTTCCGGTAGCGTCAGCGACAAGTGTATAGATATCGATATAACGACCAGCAGCGTTTACCAGCGTTCATCGGCGACCATCAGCGTCTAACAACGACCAGCAGCGTCTTGAAAGCTAGGGAAGTACAGGCATGGGCTGAGCGCCCGGAATCGTCTACCAGCGTCCATCAGCGACCAGCAGCACCTCGGAGTGGAAAGTATGGGGCGACAGGAGGGTAGCAGACGGCCAGTACCCTCCTATCGTTCCAGGCTCTCTACCAACAGTCTGCTAGCCTCCTACATCCCCATACTCTACCAGCTATCTGCTACCTCAATACCGCCCCATGCTCTCCACATCTGGACGCTGGGTCGCTAGACGCTGGTATACGCTGCTGGTCGCTAGATCGATACCTATACTCTCACTGACGCTGTCGGACGCTCGGAACGCTAGTGGTCGCTAGTGGTTGATGGTGGACGGCGAAAGCCCTACTATATCCACCCGATCCAGTAAGTGAGTGAGAGAGGTGGCCAAAGTTGGGGAGAGGGAATAACTGTTTGGGAGTGAGAGTTGGAGAGTGGTTAGTAAGAGAGGGTTGTATTGGGAGAGGGTATAGAAGGGGGCCCGATGGAAAAAAATCACTCACTTTACTTCCTTGTCTTTTAAAGCGCTATAAGTAACACTTTATTGAATTCTGATTGGACATTCCCACCATCATATTCAGCAACACATTGTACACTATTACAATACTCCGCCACAGCCTTCAACGCCATCGAGAGATTCTGCCACGCGACCGTGATTCGGTGCCTGAGTTCAGCGAAATCGTTGATTTCTCCGCCACTGTAGACCACCCTGTTGAGCTCCTCCCGGACACGGTAATCGCGGGGGTTTATGTCAGGTGATACACTCGGATATTCCGTCTTCTTCAGGTTCTCAACGCCCTTCGATTCCACAGTTTTCCGCCTATTCTAGAGCACTTTCGTCACCACGGACGCGACGACATAATGGAGGAATATTCTCCCTCGAAATTGGTCCATGTACCGTCATCGGCTGCAGACTTAGCAATCCGATCCGCGAAGAGAACTCGGTCTTTCCATTCCAAGAAACATCCGGTGCTCATACCAACCAACCCGCGCTTGGTGACTGCGAGAAGATGATATCGCTTGGAAACATAATCCGACTGTCGAAGCGCTCGAATGTTGTAGTCTCCATATCAACGAGGTTATAGCCCCAGGTACTGTCTATGATACTCCATACAAGGATTTTCGCAGTTGCTTGACATGACGGAATTTCATAGGCTTTCTCCATTCAGGCTGCGATACGGGAGACTGTCGTCATATTTGGTGACATGTGGAGATGAGGCCTACTTACTGCTTACGTGGAACACCTAGGTATTTCCCCAGCCCATGGTCTCGTATCGCAAATGTCCAATTCTATCTGATTCTGCCATAAACTACCTTGATATTTACTCGCAACTAAAGTCTTTTTTTTTATTGCCTGTCCGCTTCCATGTATTGAAGGTTAGCCTTAGAATATTTCTGGTACAACTCAAAGTGAGTGTAACAAGATGGAAACCTGAAAGTGAGGGAAAGGAGTGTGAAGGAGCGAATCGTGAGAGGAGGGGCAAGGGTGCTTGTGAGTCAGGTAATGGACAAGTGTGGACAAGAGTGACTGAATGAGCCAGGGTGCAAAGTGTGCAGGTCCAATTAGAAGGAGTGTGCACTTATTGACGCGAGGAGGACGGTCTAGGGTGAGAGCGAGCTCAGGGAGGGCAAAGACGAATTACATAAGTGCTGGGATTGTAAGGGGTCAGTTGGGTGAAGTGCGGTCCGGCTTTCCAAGATAACCATAAAGAGCAGACGTCGAGGAATAATACCATATTTTGTTACCACATATCTAGTCGTTAATGATATCAAGTGGCATGGGAAGACTTTACTTTCTTTACGCCTGCTATTGGCTGTTACTGGCAGTGTGATATATCATAGTTCATGGAATTGCACATCAAATAGGATTCATCCCCACGTGGTTTCCATTCCCTCCGCTAACAGCGAGTTCTGCTTTAGGCGTTCCCTTCAAAAATATCTGCCTGATCAATAATATGATAAGAGTTAGCCCTAGCAGGGTCCTGAAAATCAATGTGAAGGCTAGTGGAGACCGTTGGGCACCGCACCTTTTATCGACCTGATACGGTAGTGATCCATCCGATCGCGCAGTCCGATGACTCTTTTGGGGGTTAGTGGCTAGCCCAGCTCCGATCACACATCTGACATTAAGGTTCGGTTGAGACTGGTGCTCCCCTGTCTAAGTAATCGACTTCTTTCGGTGGAACCAGTAGAGAACAGAACTGGCTCACCCGTTTATACAGCACCGCAGGGTCAGCCCTGTTGATCAAAGTCTTCGAAGGCGGGAAAGGGTGGTAGGTGGCCGGGTAACAATTGATTAGCGACTGGTTAGTTATGCAGGCTACGTGAGAGCCAGTTCTTTGTTTCATTTCTTCTTCCATTTTTAGTAGTGTAGGCCACTGGTTCTTTTTATGCTTCCGAATACACCGTTCAGAAAAGTCGAAGTTTGATCACTAGCTCTAAAGGCAAGTGATGATACTCGCCCCACTAGAACATTTCACTGTATCTGAATGTTTGGTAACAGTGTGGAACTACTCGGAAAAACCGAAAGACAGCGAAATTCCCACAATTTTCATGACAAGTAAAACGTTTAAGACTTTTTGTGTCTTTTGGGTTTCGAAATAGTTGTACACTGTTACTAAACATTTCAATGCAGTGCGACTCCTGTACAGCACAACTCCTGTACTCCGTTATCAAGTACGCAGGACGTTATTTGGGCGCAACTAAAGACCTTCCCTTGAAGAAGAGGACGTTGTTCCAGCCGTTTGATGTTTGGCGAAAATGGCGGTAAGCAAGTGCTGCTTTTCCGCGCTTGTCAGCGACTCGTTGATCGGAGTTCTACATCTATTCCTTCCTTCCTATCCAGTTTTACACGGGTCGACATCGCAGCTGCATTCAGTGCCGCCTAAGTGGTGAGATCGCCTCCAGAGCTCGAGGAAATGCGTTTATTCTAGCGAACAGCTCTCGAAAGTGATTCACCTCATTATACGCATACTAGTTAAGAAAGTGTAACATTCTTGCGAGAGACGGTAAAGTCCCAACCTGCTTGGCGTCGGTGGTTCAGCTACGTCTTCGGTTCGCTATCCTCTCGTTCACCCGCTTCTGGGTTACCAGCCGTAGTCTTCTTTTTGGCTTTAGGCCACTCCAATATAGACGCAGATTCGGGTGTTGTCCAAGCTGTCGTCGTCTTCTTTTGCCAGACGCTCGCACTGTGCACTGAAGAGCTAAGTCTGGTGTCTGTAACTAGGACAGTAATCTTAGACAGGCAATTAGACAGAGGTAGCTTTGGACTGAACCGTCCCACAAGAGAATACACTTGTAACTGAGAACCTTTACTTGATGACGTAATGTACAACAAGAATCAAAAAGTTGAATCAATGGAAATCTGGCTATTTTTATATGCTATACTGTGTAACTTAGGATTGAGGTGTTTTGTACCCGAGGTCTCTAAGTTAGGAGATCCTATAGAGATCAGAGTAATACCGTATGCTACCGTATTTCATCACGCAGTTAGTGAGGCGTGAAAATGTTATGTACAGAAAAGTGTTATGTACAGTCATAAGTCACTGATTTTAAGGCGCACATTATTAGGTACGTTATATGTTATATTTACATGAGATCGGCCTATGCGGCTGTCGTGCTAGTGCGGGTCCTTTCCCGCACACTCCCGCCGTCGGCGATTGTCCCAATTGTTGATTATGCCCAGCAGCTCTTTTCGCTCCTCAGGCAGAAGGCACAGTGACTCGTGGTGGGTCTTGTCCCCACAATATCCGCATCGCTTAATGGGGTCACATCGTTCCTTGCAGCGACTCCTAAGGCAGATGCGACACATGTCCTCGTCCTTTATAAGCGCTCTTCTTTCATTGACCGTCGTGAACGCTGTACACGCATCCGTCTCGTGCTTTCCTCGCTGCCGACAGAAAGCACACACTACGAGACGGGCTCCTGCGGTACATAAACTGATTTTTGCATCTCCTATTTTTCTTTCACCGGCATTCTCTGAGTCCTTTTAGTTTTGTTCTTGCTTGAGAAACCTTGTATGGGGTTCTACTTCGTTCCGATCTTGGTCTCTTTGCTGGGTTATGACTCGCTTCGAAATCGCGCTCCTTTGGGTACTTCCTTGAGCGCGACTCTTCTTCTTTTTTGGCCTCTTCTTTGACTGTGTAGGCTTTTTCCGGAGTTGGCTGACGATCTTCCTTTTTTGGTAGTTGCATATTCGAAACTTCCGCATCGTCCTCGAGCAAAGTGAGAATATCTTCTCGGAGTTCTGGAGTCCGCTGCCTCTCTTCTAGGGTTCTTAGGTACGAGGCCACTGCCAAATTAAGACTGTCGTCAGTCTTCATGAAGCTCTCCTCCATGAGAGCTTTTATCCTTTTCTCCCATTCTTCTAGCCTTTCCTGCGATTGCTGTTTGATGGCGTCTATGCTGCTGTCTATCTTTCCTTTCTATTCTGTCGTAGAAGGTTTCCATCTTTTTCATAATGGCC